ACCATAGGACACTGAAAATTAGGCTTCCCGTCCGCTCAGCCATATACAAGCAGTGTACCGGCGGATTAGTAGTTAGGTGGGTGACCACTAGCGAATCCCCGCTGTTGTATGTTTTTGTATTTTTGCTCGTCTTTTTTTTTGGTGGGGGGGTTGGTGAGGTGGAGAGTAGAATCTTGGGAGGGGAGGCGGGGTTGGGTGGAGATTCTGAGTGCCCGACCATCATCGAGCTCGGCTCCGAGGCCAGCAAAATAAGAACGCCAAATCCCGAGATCCTGTTCAACACCAGCATATGGATTTCAGCGCCACCACGCTAGTCGTCGTCTTTTGGAGTTTCGACCGCAGCCCCAGGTCCGGCTCCCGGACCACACGACATCCGTCTTTGCCTTCTTTCTTTCCGTACTAGCTCAACCTCCACCCTTACCAAGTCATCCCCAATAACGCCTCGCAGCCCGTTGTCGTCGACATCGAAATAGAGCGCCCACTCTCCAGGTCCATATTGAACAGCCATAAACCCCTCCCAACCCATGAATGTGACCCGGCGATCCATCCTTGTCACGTCCCATGGGCCAACGATCTGAGGTTCTGAAGCAACTCGATCGCCGTGTTTGACTTCGCAAGTGTCGCGATCCACATATATCCAGTTCAACTGGGGTGGGTCATCTGAGTTGGTCGATACCATGCCTTCCCCCTGTCGTCCCCAGTCTTGGTCTGGGAACGGCAGGAAGTAGCCTGCAAATGGGTGATCTTCGGGATGGCCGTCCGGAAACTCATCTGACGGTACATTGAGATAAAGCTGGCATCGTCTTGTTAGCTGTGACGCTCAAGGCAGGATCCAACAAGCGTCGGTCGCAAGCCCAGAAGGGAATGCTTCACCTTGTTTTCGCTGAGTACCACTTCGCATTGATCGATTTCTCGACCACTTCTTGTGGCTCGCGAACAGGATACGGAGAGGTTCGTCTTCAGGCCACGATGCTTTTCCCTGGCATTTTGTCTTTGGCCTTGACGCACTGCTTCAGTTGTGCCTATGATTGCGGGGCAAGCAGCGATAGCAGTCAAAATTCCCAGCACCATGATACTTGGGTCTCTGATGAAGTTGTGCGAAGATGATGGCGTTATGGTCTGAGCATATTTAAACCTGCTTTTGCGCTCGGTGCTCGGTCGGTATGGATCTAGGATCCTATACCTGGTAGGTGTCCTTGCTCTCACGGGAACGAAACTTGATTGAGAGGTGTTATAAGAAAGGCGCACAGGTTTCAGTGTGGATTCTGTCAGTCTCGGGCCGTTGTTGCGTCATGGCATCTAACGGGTATCTACAGCTTAAGAGAAGAGCTCAGTGTGATTCCAAGTTTACCATCTATATCCTTCATTCCTTCGATTAGGTATTGAATCTTAGCAAGGACTTCTCCAGATTCAATTGAAACATCAGATTGTACTATCGACATGTCTTCAGAGTAAGTCATAAAATCTCACTTCCAGTGTTCTTGTTCCACCACAAAACATCATTCTGATCTATAGTAAGATCCCCAGCCGGCGACGCAACCAACAACACTACCACAGAAACACCTCAGACTCCTAGGAAAAAGCCCTCGAAACTCGGAGGCCAGAGCAAGAATAACGAGATCGAGAAGGCTCCCGCGCCTCAAGCATCTCAAACCTCGGACGATGACGGCGGAGACACTGAACTAGAAGCCACCATCGCAAAACCCAGAAAGGGCCGTCGCATGGTTCCTGTACACCAATCGCGCATCGCGGACCGACCCGTGAAAGAAGGCGAAAAGGATAGTTCGCTCAAAATCAAGATCGAACTAGATCTTGAAGTCGAGGTAGAACTTTACGCCCGAGTTAAGGGTGATGTGACAATTGGGCTGATGTAGCCCAGGTCGAGATTTATGCGCGCGTGAAGGGAGACGTGACGATTGGTTTATTGTAAGAGTGAGTCGGTTGCTACTTTATTGCCGAGCGGAAAGTAACGTGTCTATGCTGTAGTACCCCGGAGAATAAGTGAGATATCGTTGGAGGCAGCGCTTTCCTCCGTAATCGACTGAGATACCCGAATTCATGACGACGGAGCATGATGAATGGGGAAAAGTATGTATACGCGACGACTCGTGGGTAGTGCGCTGGGGTTGTTGCAAGGCAATCAGTGATACATGAAGAAAGAATAGAGGCTTGGATAACCGTAGAGGACCAGAGTACCTGTTCAGTCGCTCTTGATCTGGGTCGACGTTGACATTTGCAATCTACAACTTTAGCTATATGGGTACAATTCCGATGATACCGTGCCGTGCAGGCATCGTGGGGATAAGGCTAGTACTAATAGACTATACTACATTGGAAGCAACAACCCATATCCTTTGGAAGTCAAGAGTGATGCTGAGTGATTACAGAACCACTCTCGGCTCAACATACAGAAGAAGGGGAGGAAATTCATATGTATGAAACATATCATGACACTGGATATGAGGTATAGGAAGCGATATCCGACAATCGTCAATTAAAACAAGACGATCGCCAATTTCGATGTTATAAATTTGATAATCTATCGGCTTTGTTCAATGTTCTTGTGGTGCGGCATGTGGGTACAGAGACCTATCCAGTCAGTTTTGCCGAACATCACAGAAATGGCTCACCTATGAACCGATCTACTTCATTAAACGATGATCAGATAGAGAAAGCATGGTACCTTTTTCTTTTCAATAACATGACACAAAGCAAGTTCATAAGTCGTCGCTACTTCATGAAGCTATGGGATATGGTGAGCTAGAAATTCCCTAGTTCGAAAGGATTGGGTACTCACTCACCCGTTCATTGACCAGGTTTCGGGAGCTCGGCCAGCTGATAGAGGAAATGATATTCTGGTTGCAGACTCCATGCAAGTTTAACTCCATGTTTTTGAGCTAGTGTTTCTTGTAGTGTATTTTGGAGTATTTCCACCGGTTTGAACGTCGGCCGATCTGGCATCCGTATCGCCTTGTTGAGTAACTCTCTCGGAGTTCCGGTAGAAGATAGAAACAGCAGTAGTATGTCAATACCCTGTTGCATATCTGAGACACATATTTCGATGCTGTTCTCTTCAGTGTTTGGGTGCTCAAATAACACATCACACTCTCGTCCATCGAGATCGAGAACAGTATCATTGTCCAGGCGCTCGATGCTTGTATCGCGACAGCAATTGTTCTCGTGCTTTGGTGTATTGTAGGATGGTGATAGTTTTGATATAGGTACCGTTGGCAGAAATCTGGGGGATGATGGACAGATCCCAGATTGGTCTCTCGGGTCTGTCAGGAGAACTGAAGCGACAACCACTGCATACTCCCACAAAGTATTGTTTCCAATAGGTGACTCGATTCCAAGTCCAGAGCAGTCGTTAAGGATTTTGAGCAAGAACATAAGAGTTTCCCGTCGTTCCGACAAGTAATCATTCCTGTCCGCCCAGCTGCCTAATGCATATAGTATGAGCAACTCAACGTCCGCGAGTCTGGAGGTTCGATTGGCCGCTCTTAGAAAGGGAAGAGACCCTTCGTAAGCTGCGAAGCTATTGATGCTGGCTCGAGACCAGATATGCATATGCCGGGGAAGATTTCGGATCTCTGGTTCCAAAAATGACGATGTGATTCGAGCAGACCAATGCACAGAGAGCTGACAAGATCTTTGATCGATCAGATAACCCTCAAAACCTTGGGTTTTTGAAGTCATTGTCTTATCCAAAGCCTCCATGAATTCAAGCATGAATGAGTCTTCTATATCGACAGTCCGGCGGCATGCATTCATAACGAGTTCCAAGACCCGTTCGCTGTAGTCGTTTCTGTTGAAATCGAAGCCTAACTGCACTCTTAAACGTTCATTTTCGCTTAACGGAGGATTCGAAATTTTCAAGATGGAAAGGAGTCCAGATGCGACATGCATACCAGGGCTGAATTTCATGTCGTTTGTTCGTGATAGCATGTCTTCCCACAAATCTCGGCTGGTCACAAACTCGGCTACAGATCGATGCAGATAAGTGACCACTGGAGTAGGAGGCTGAAAAACGCTCACAGCCGAGACCTCGCGCAACTCCAGTAGCCCACAACAACGGCTCCGGATACGAGTTTCGATTTTCTCAGAAAACTCCTTTTTCATCTGGGTACTCCAAACATCCGTGCTTAAGTTAAGCGCTGTGGACGATGGTTTGATAGCAAAAGCTAGTAGCAGTAACTCCAACTCCGTATCGGCAAAATGAAGCCTCCACCACTCAAAGATCTGGAACATTTGAGAGGCTTGTGACTGATAGTCTGCGGGCATCTTCTCCATCATCCGGGTATAGAGGTCCCGCAAATCAGATGGCAAAGCACGAAGCTTAGGAAGAAGATCATCAAAATCATCTCCATCTTCCAATCCACGCGATAGAAGTCCGGTGACAATTCGAACCCACAGAAACACTCCTTCCGCTTTCTCCTGGATCTCCATTTGCAGTATGGCTGCCTTTCCTGGCGACTCGGCTTGGAGTTCCACCATCATTGGATGCGAACTTAGTTTATCCCGAATGAAAACTTGCATGTCATCCTGCGTCAAGTCCTGGAGTTTTAGTGTCGGGCTGTGCCTGAATACATGGAGACATGCATTTATCGGTCGGCTCGACACTATGACTTTGATCGCTGAAGAAGCCATGGAACAGAGGAAGGTTGACATGTCCCGATGGTCTCCCTCAAACTCGTCAACTCCATCCACGAAGATACAGATGCGCAAAAAGGATGCGGAGCGAAACTTCAATCGTTCGAAGGCATTCTTGAGTTCGATATAAGAAGGCGGTTCGTCGCCGCCAACGGGAATCCTGTTGGCGAACAGGGTTGGAAATACAGCAGGTATAAGATCGTGACACTGAGCGAGTACGCTATGTAGTAATGAGCGAAGCATACCGGTACGGCTCTTTTGTAGTTGGGTTCCAATATTCCAGGAGAAGAAGTATGGACTGAGAAGCTTGTGTTGACCAGCCCACTTACGGAGTTCTGCTTTTGTTTGAGGATTCGAGACGATGTACTTCATTAGTGTCGATTTGCCACTCCCTGCTTTACCATTTATGAAGTATGGTTCATGAACATCCGTCCCGGAAAGATGGGCACCGAAATCATGCCAGGGTGTCTTTGCATATGGTTTTCTGAATATCCAATCGAACGTCGTTCGGTGTGCTTCTTCGACCTCCTCGAACCGCCATGTTCTTTGCCGGTAGTCTAGCCAGCGCAAAATCTCTGCTTCTCGGGTGCTGGTGACTGAGGACCGAATTTTCTGGATGTTCTCCATGCATGAATCCATCTGTTTTTGCAACATGTCTAGCTTCGGACCAGATTGCTGCTCGACTAGACCATGAAAGAGGTTTAAAGCTTTTATCAGCTCATCGGCATTCTGTTTTTGTGCATCATCTTCTGCCTTTATTGATTTAAGATGTTCAAGGACCTCGTGGTGGTTACCGATCTCCTTGTTGCGTAGAGAAAGCACTGTTGCAAGCGAAAGAGACCCTTGTAACTTGTCCAGCCTAGAGATATACGCTTCAATCTTACTATGACGCCATTTTACCTTGATACTGGCCTGAACACTCTCTAAGCGTGAGGAAGACTTCGACACCGTAATCAGCTGATCAATATATTTGATGAACTCCTCTCCAGCTTTTTCGCAGTCAGTGGCCACATCGAGTAAATGCTACATACATTAGTGTTTGCCCAGATGTTTAGTTACTGTGCTTGCGCGGCATACCTGCTCTTCCTGCTCAAGTATGGCTGTATTCGCTTTCAGCCGAGTCATTATTATCCGAGTTTGTTGTATGAGGTTTTGAGCGACCTTACGCAGATCGACCAGGGACGAGGGAGCGCCTTTCTTCTTGATCTCCTTAGCGAGAGAAATGAGCTGACTGGAGAATTGCACTAACTGCACGACATTGCCAGCGAGGCCGACAGCGACAAGAGCTTCCATATCGTCGAGCAGATTGAATGGGAAGAACGGAGATATCGTGAAAAAGTTACGACGCACCAGGCTGAAGATGACTTCTTAGTGTTGTACAGCTAAGGCGAGGCGCAATGCTAGAGAGGCTGAGCTTCTGCAACATGATTGGATGGATGACATGCAACCTGATGATTGGTGATTTAGGACCACGCTTATCATAGTGTGCGTCATGTAATACGAAGCAAGCCTACACCTCATGTTGTTTTAGTTCTTGTCTGTTCATCTTCGTTCACTAGCGCGACCAAGCGATCGAAACTGAAAAGTAAAGTCATCGCGGCAGGAACTGTTCCAGCAGACGTGCTCTCAGTTCTGGACACCATCAAATCCGTGGGCGTAAGGACATTCAGCTATCGAAGCGCAGCTACTCGCTATAGTAGTGCCCTTGGGGAGCTACATACATAGTCAAGACGAAGTAGGCCGACGATGTCTTGGCGACTGTAGGGATTTTGTGCATCTTAGTGCCTCTTCCACAGTACAGGAATCTGTCGTTACTTCCCTTGCCGAGTTCTCGCAGTCTTTGTTCGCTGCGGGCGGGTTTCAGACCATCATGACACAGTAAATCACGCGCTTCGTAGCGCAAATCCCAGATATAGTGCTTTATAGATATCACTGAGTAATACGCCTTTTCTCCGAATTTACTATCGTCATGATTCATTTCCGTTCCCGGCATCCCGTATAACGTACGCAGCGAACTTTCGCTTCCTATCAAGTCGTCCAGGACCGCCAAGCGCCAGTTCGCCCTGCGCATCCTCAACACTGGCCGCATCGCCGATCCATCCCGGCAGTTCATCCAACACATGAACGCGCTGAGCGTCCGGGATGATTCGAAATTGGATCTTGTCGGAGATGGAAGCGCCGATGCGCAACATGGCGAAGGCATCCAGCCGATCGGTCCAACGCGGCAAGACAGCGCTGTAGATTGCGAGGCCTAGAAGCGATGCCAAAAAGACGCCGAGAAGGATGGAGATGACTAGAATGCCGGTACGCGATATAACAGGCACGAGGGTGTCGGCACCGTGGTCGTACGTCACAGACCAAGTTTTCATGAATGCTGTAGAGGAGAGCCATGCCTCGTTGGCGAGAAACGCAGTGGATGTGAAGGCATTCGTGATGCGATCGCCCTTGCACCCATCGAAGTAGTTCCAATACAGTGAGTGCACAAAGTTGGCTACCTGTCTTTGGACGTCGTCGTGCTTGATCTTCAGGTGTTACGTCCTGCTGCATAAGGTCGGCTGATACCAGAGAAATATTAAGATAGAGTTCTTCGGTGATATCTTAGCGGGTGCGTACAGCACGCCACGGCGACTGCGTCAAGTTCGCTGGCATGCAAACTTCCAGGCTCCAGTTTCCCCAACCTGTTATGGCGATATAGTTCGGGTTCGTCGCTGCGTACCTAACATAGAAGGCACCCGGCAGATCAGCGCAGTTTGTGGGAAACTCAGGCTCTGTGATGACTACCCGATGAGCTGTAGAATTCATTCGCGGAAGGTATTGTCGGATGAGGCCCGTACTATAACCTGCAGGTAATTCGGCGAAAAAAGGATCCGGGAGTAACGACATGTTGCCAAACGCCATATTTGGCAGGACGCAGTTCATGGGTAGTGCAGTCGCATCTAACTTTACAACGGCTTGACCACACTTGATGGGTTTGCTGGTCCACAGTCGACCTTGTGGACTGAGATTGCTCGTGGCAGCCATAGCCGATCGAACCTTGACGGGTATCATGTTCAGGTCAGGCAAGTCCTCGTTGTCGAATTGATCCAGGATATCGGTCAAAGAGGGAACCATGTCCGGGAATGTAGGCGTTTTAATTGTTTTCGTGGATATGAACAGGGTTCGGAGAGGCGCGATGATTCCGCCTATTCTTATCGATACTTGATCATCTCAACAAGGCGGCTTGGGAGTACCGATGATGTTCAGCATGATTGCGAAAATGAGCAGCTTGCTTCCGTACTTTTTGTACCTGCCTGTCATGAGCTTTACGTATATATCGGGATCGGACCAGCCACGGTCAGCCAAAACTATGGTATGACGCAGTGTTAAGTTTCGCTGGCCCTGTTGCTGTAGAAAAGTGGCAGCGACCTTGGAGCATACTGCGGAAACGAGAGGGAGAGTGAGAACGGCCACAACTGAGTGTATGAACTGAGCAGCTTGGAGCCACTCTTCGTTCTTGGTGTAAAATGAGTGGACAACAGAGGCTCCAGTCCAACCGTATGCATGCGGTACGTCAAAATTCACACCTAGGCACCAGATTTGTCAGCTGGCACTCTCTCAAAAAGTTGTAAGGATAGCAGACCATAATTTGACGTTGACGTTATCGGATGAAATGTTAGGGTACACGTCACAATCCAGGCGAAAAGCGCGAGTGCCGCATAGAGCAAGACCAACACAAGGACGTAACCAGAGTGGTAAAGACGGGTTCCATGATGCTTTGAAGAAATAAGTGGCTTCTCGGGCCGTTCTCCAGGCTGCATTGAATCGTCCTGACCATTTTCTCCCAGTGTGGATACCACCATATTGTCCACTGGTGCTTCAATCTTATTATGTACCGCCTGCGCAGAAGCGTTATGATCGATGAGGTCGGGGTCTATTAGATGTTTGTGCTCCATCCTTTCGGCAGTCGGGTGCCCCTCGCTGGTATAATGTGCATAGAGAAGGAAAATATGCTCGCTGCGAGTCCTAGATGGTGGATTAAGACGCGCTAGAAGGCAGCTTGAGGCCAAACCACCCGCTTCTCATATCTGTACGTCAGCTCGCATAACACCCTTGTTTTCGAGTAAGCAGTAACTGAGCCAACCTAAGCCACAATATCTTTCAATCAACCTCATAGCAAGCCTAGCATATTGCCACTTGGGCCTGTATAGCGGGCGAAGACCTAGAGGAGAAAAACGCAAGAAGGAATGCAACAAAGTCAAGCGGATTGACAGGGAGGAAAGTAGCATTAGAAAGGACTTGCGATCTACCACCTGGGCAGGCTGCAAATGACGTCCCGGTGTCATGCAGCCAAGGCGAGGCGCCCAGTTGACGAGGCTGAGCTTTTACAACATGACCGAAGTAGTGCTATGCGATCCGACGGTCGACGGATTCGAAAGTGGCTGAGCGTGAAAGTGTCCAAAGCAACATGCTAAGGTGCTGATAGTTTCGTTCGAAGGTTGTGTGAAGTGTGTTGGTCCGGGCGTAAGAGGGACCTTGGGAACCAAAGTCCAAGTAGTTCCAAGCCACGCAGCTAGTCAAGCCACCCCATCTAATCAACGACTCAAGCTTGTCACGCGATAACTCTACTAACAAAGTACTTGGGTGCAGCATTATATGTGGCAAGAATTCACAAAACACCTGCCTAGATGATGAAGGGGTATCTTGATAGGCGCACAGGTAATGCAAACGCCCTTTGCGTGTCCAACTGTAATGTCGCTTGGCGTGGTGTCTCACAGATCTTTGCCGCACCTGTTGGTAGCATATAATGAATGAGATCATCGCTGTCTACACGTTACCGATATGATGTTTTGTAAAACAACTAAAGAATCCACAGTGTCAGCTTCTCCCACCGGTTATAACCTTGTGAGGGCTAGAGTGCTGGAGCCGCGGCTGCACTTGCTACAACTTCATGATCGGAACTGCAAGACGTCAGTATGTGCAACCACCAGCAAAACAATAACCGCGAACCGACGTTCTAGAACTAAGACATGCGACGAAAGGACCTATCGAGACACGGCCTCTCATCACGATGGCGCGCTCTTGATTAAGCATACCAAGCTTCGGATCTCCCCAATCCTGAAGCTTGTGTACCCCCCTCTCATCTTGGCGAAATGAAGAGACATACGCCGTTCTCCACAAATACAAGCCTAGTCGTTTCACTGAACAAAGCAAACGGGCTCGAAACGGCGCGTCAGTAAGCCGAAAAGTGGGCCTACCATCTCGCTTGACCTAGCCGCCGCGTCCCGGTGACAGCACTGACAGCTCCAGACGCCATACAGCAATACATCTCCGTGATATTCTGCTCACAGCCACTACGGTCCCCGGTAATACCACCGAACATCTCGGTAATGATCATGAAACGGTGGGAACAATGCGGAGACAATATGCCGCCATCCCGTCGACCTGGAATCAGGTCTCGAACGGTTTGGAAGCGCAAGGGCACGACCTTCTGGGTACCCTTTCCATGAGATGATAAAAGCGCAAACCATCCGCTGTTTTCTTGGTTCTCCATCACATCTGTGAAGTTTCAATCCTTTGCTTCTACTTGTGCTATCTACATTCTCATCCTTTCTTTGCCTACCCAAGTCTATCCTTATTCAAACTTCGTTTCAATGGCTCGCTACTCTTTCGCATTCGCTGCTCTTGCAGCAAGCGGTGCCTACGCCGCCCAGGGGGCGGCTTACGCGCAGTGTGGTGGACAAGGCTTCACCGGTGCCACTGCCTGTGTATCTGGCTACCACTGTGAGGTCCAGAACGACTGGTACTCTCAGTGTGTTCCTGGCGCTGGCTCAGGAGCCGCGGCCCCTGCTGCTCCCAAGACCACCATGGTCACTATGGCACGAACCTCGACTCCTGCGACCAAGACTTCCACCAAGGCAGCCGCTGCTGCTACCAACAAGGCCGCTGCTGTAGCTGCCGCTCCTGCCTCGTCCAGCGGAAAGACCCAGTATGCTGGTATGAACATTGCTGGTTTCGATTTCGGATGCGACACATCTGGATCCTGCAGCGGAGCCTACGTCGACCCCGGTGCGAACGGAATTGCTCAGATGCAGCATTTCACCAAGGACGACAAGCTTAACATCTACCGTCTTCCCATCGGATGGCAGCACCTTGTCGGCAACAAGCTCGGTGGTGCCCTTGATGCCACTGTCGCTGGAGCCTACGACAAGCTCGTCCAAGGCTGCTTGGCCACCGGCGCTGTCTGCCTCATCGACCTCCACAACTACGCCCGCTGGAACGGCCAGATCATTGGCCAGGGCGGCCCAACCAACGACCAGTTCGCCGACATCTGGTCCAAGATCGCGACCAAGTACGCGTCTGAGAGCAAGATCGCTTTCGGCCTGATGAACGAGCCCCACGACCTCACCATGTCCACCTGGGCCGACTCCGCCCAGGCTGCCGTCAACGCCATCCGCAAGGCAGGCGCCAAGTCCCAGATGATTCTCGTCCCTGGAACCGACTACACATCCGCGGGTACCTTCCCCACTGCCAGCGGTCCTTCCCTCCTCAAGGTCAAGGACACCGACGGCACGACCGACAAGATCATCTTCGACGTCCACCGTTACCTCGACAGCGACAACTCTGGTACCCACGCCGAATGCACCAGCGACCACGTCGAGGACTCTTTCGTTCCCCTTGCCACCTGGCTCCGCACCAACAAGCGCCAGGCTATCCTGTCCGAGGTCGGTGGTGGTAACACTGCTTCGTGCGAGACTGATGTCTGCGCTGCTCTCGCTAGCTTGAACAAGAACAGCGATGTCTACCTCGGTTACATTGGCTGGTCGGCTGGTGCTTTCGACCAGAGCTACGTCCTTGGATTGACTCCCAACGGTTCGACTGACCAGGCACTTGTCACCAAGTGCTTCAGCCGTGCTTAGAGTAAGAGACGTCGGTGCTAAGGCTGTGAGGTGATGCAGTATGTAGACGACACGGCTTCGTGGAGGCTTTGCTTTTCGTTATCTTCGATTCTTGTGTAGACTTTATCCAATCAAACTTTTGAACTTCGACATAATCATAGCTCTTCCCGCAAACTTCCATGTGATGTTGATTTTAGACATGACGACCGAACTGACCACAGCGGCGCATTCAATGAGTGGACTCTACGATACTGTCAAGTTTCCAAGTAGCACCTCTTCAGCCGATCGCGCAACATTACTACCTTCGTTGCTAGTTTTCGCAATATGCTTTCGGACAAACTCCACTCATGGCAAGTTCAACGTCATCTTTCGATAAGGCTTCTTTATTAGTCACACTGCTCCGATTGTATGAGATAGAAATTGCCACTAGCAATGTGGACTTTTGGGCAGAGAACCCAGCCAATACAAATTGAACTAGACTCAGATCCAGCCAAAAAAATAAAGACATGCCAATTATTCGAATCATCTTTTGGTAGGTGTAAGGCATAACTCAGAACTTCCACATGATGCGTTTGATATTTTCTTTTGAAGGGAGCAGAGCGCGCCACCAACATCCGGGCGTTCTCATCAGGTTTTGGAGAAGATTAAGCAGGCTTGGATATGAACAGAATTATCGGAAGTATAGAGTGATATTTTATACACGCGGTAAGATGCCCAGCATGTGATCTTGGCGCGTAGTGTAGATGTCGGACTTGGGGCAACCGAATTTTTAAGTACCTCGTAACTCGTTGGCGAAGAAAGACATCGACGTTGAGTGAACAAATTTGATAGTGGCAGGGCTAGCTCCGAGTGTTCATATAGATATGAGAGGGGGTGGTTTTGAGGAGAGCAGAACACGTCACCAACATGTCATGCTTGCTAGTGTGTTTTGAAAACAAGGGGAGTAGTTGTTGGCATGGATAGGAATTAATTTCATAGAGCTGCTGGATATTTATGCATGCAGTAAGGTGCACGGGGTATGAGCTTGGCGCGCAGAGAAGATGAGCGTCATTAAGTATCTCCGTCTGAATTTGTGTGTGAATCGCTCAAAAAGCAAAAACATAGCTTCTATGGTATGATATTTTGATAACATCAGGTGGTATGGTTTGGAGAGTACCTATGAGATGGCGAACTGAGCCCTTGAGGAGAGCGAAACGCGCCACGACCATAATTTTTTGTTTTCGACGTTTGGAAAAGGTAAGTGAGTTCGAGTATAAAGAAGAGTATCCAAGCTGTGAGAGGTAGGCATTTATATGCTCAGAAACATGCTAGGAACGCTGCATTGGCAGAAGCAGCATCCATGATCGATTAACTCTCTCGTTTTGGTCATGATCTCGCGGGTAGTGATTTTGGTAACAATAGGGAAGAGACAATATGTCCATCTATTGCGTATGTCGGAGAACATAACCAACGGGAAACACTGGGCTTTGATGTGGTCTGCGGTCTTTTCGAGGACGAAGACATACCCAAATACCAGACCATTTTTTTGGTAATAAGTGACTTAATTTCGGTGGTCCCATCGAATCACTGTTGACGTTTTTTTTTGAGACGAGCGCAACCACGCCACGACCATGTGTTGTAGAAATCGTTGTTTTGGAAAGAAGAATTAGTTCTTGGTGTGCGGGAGGTATAGGTAGTGTGGGTGGATGACATGTATACCAACACGAAGATGCGCGGAAGTTGACTTCATGGACGCAGCACCGCTCATGACCATAGGGATTGGTGCTTCTTGGTTGTCGTTCATGGTCTGCTTTCGCAGTTTTTTGTCGTGCTGGTGGCAACAAGAGAACAACACGCCCTCTTCACTGGCGTTTTCGCATGAACATGATGATAGACCAGGGACATCAGACTCTAGATTTTCAGACCTTAGATTTATACAAAGCTTTTCCGAGGAGGAGTACATGTAGAACAGGCAGTGGTTCTTGAAAAGCAGAGGGCATGGCGTGAAGTTTCCATGACCCGTTTATGTCTAGCCTTCTAACGGAAGCGACACACTCCCCAGACATTCAGCGGTGCAGTCAGGGTTTGAGAATAAAGCAATGGTTTTAGATGTAAAGAAGAGAGTAACGAAAAACGAACTGAAGATATTTATATCAACAAGAAGTGTCTGGGCACATGAACGGTTACAACTTCTGCCGGCTCTTCGCCATCTCCTCTTCCAAAATCATACCAACAGGTCCACCACGACTTCCATCACCGGCCCACTGCTCTTCCGGCACACGCTCAGCTGGCCATTCCCATCGGCCCCTGAAGTCATCCGGCGTCCTGCCTTCCATACACTCCACAATACTGTCGCCAATAACAGGCAAAAACTTGAAGCCATGTCCCGAGCCACCCGTCGCCAGAAACAGCCCTTTGTACTTGGGATGGTACGAGATCAAAAAGTCGCCATCCCTAGTATCAGTGTACCAGCAAATCTTCGATTTGGTGAATGGTCGCGAGGGTGCGGCGAGGGAAGGGTGTATGGCTGCGAGGAAGTCTCGGCATTGGCGTTGGCCCTCGATTGGGACTGCCTGTGACGGATCGTCAACGTGTGTGTATGGTAGGGAGATGGTGATTGTCTCATTGGGGTCCTCTGACTCCGGATGTGGGATAGTGGTCGGGTTGAGGTAGCCGTGGCCGTGACGCGCGACTTTGAGGAGGCGCTTGGAAGGCGGAATCATGAACAAGCCATGGGAGAGGTTCAGGATAGTTGGCCGTGTAGACATCTTCGCTTCCTCCTCCTTGGAGATGGGCATGTAGCACAGAGCTTGCCCAGTCGCTTTGCAGATGCCTCGGAGATCGATGAGCGACGCCGTCCATGCGCCTGCCGCCAGCATCGTCAGGTCCGCCTTGAGCTCGGTCGAGTCGTTAAATCGCACGCCGGAGACGGTGTTGGTTTTGTGATCAATCAACAGCTTCTTCACGGCCTTTGTGACGAACTTCACCCTGTTCAGCTTCTCGACCTTCTCCCTCAGCCACATCATCGCGCCCTCTGCGTCTGCCCAGCCTGAACTCCAATTCACGTATCCGGTGCTACCGTTGCCCCATGGGTCTTTGCCTTCCAGACCACATACTTTTTGTATGTCCTCCGGCGAGTTCAGCACTTCTACTTTGTCTGTTCCGATCGCGCGGACGTTTGCGAGTGATCCAGAAACGTACTTCTGCTCCGGACCCCAAGCTGTCACACATAGGCCGACCTCATGGTAGTGTTCGGTCGCAAAGTCGGTTCGCCAGCGGTGTTGCGCGATGGTTGCGAGACGGGTGTAGCGTGTGGCAGCATAATCAGGACGGATGATTCGTGAAGTGTCAATCTAGATGCTTTTGCTTAAGCGTTTGATTTTGGTTGAACAGGTTGACTCCACTGGCGAATGTGTTGCTCTAGAGCAAGGTGTTGAAACAGAGTAGATTAGATGCTCTACTTACACTCGAGCCATCAGGCGTAGGAAAAGGCTGACGGTCTATGATAGTAATCGAGGTGTCGTTGTACCGCGGGTTTTGACATAATGAATAGGCAGTGGAAAGTCCAAATGCGCCGCTGCCGACGATCAAGATGGATGAGGGTATCTCGGGGGATGCAGAAGAAGCCATTGCGCACAAAGTCAAGACGTATAGAAATGCAACAACTGCGCAAAAGAAAGGAAAGACATGAGAAAAAAAGTTAACCTACATGAGCGCGAACGGCGTGCAAGTGCCGCTGATGGGCCGATATCGTTGTCTGAAGGGCGTGCGTCGGCTGGGCACGGTGGATAACCTCGTGGCGGCATGGAAGCTTTGACGCTACCGAGCGATTGGGTCGGCGCATCGAAAGATTTGAGACTTCAATTGTTGCTCGACGGCTTCACTCTTTGCGTCTCACAGTCACTCGTTCCTCAGGTATTCTGTGTCTGCTTGCGTCGCCATGGCGAAGCTCCCGAAGCCCCCAAAGTCGTTTCCTGCAAAACCTGCGATACCCACAAAGCCCGCTATACCACTACACAGACGCATACAACGAGCGCAGCACGACAACGACCTACCACTTCGAGCCCCCGCCAACCAAACACCTGAGCAAGCATTGAAGCGAGTATGGGCAGCACGTCCAACGCTGTCGGATCTGCAGCGCCTGTCGGATGAGGAACTCAGGTCGGCACATCATCAGGCAAAACTACGGAGATGGAGACAATGGCCAATGTTCGGCGTCGGCATGATCGCATTCGGAATGGGCACATACGCGACGATGCTCTACACGTCGTTGACACAGGATAGCGACTTGAAGGACTTGCCAGAAGATCTCTCAGACCGATTCGACAAAGAGGCCGAAGGCTATGACGAGAAGGTTGACACGTCTGAGACGCTACTCTTCTTGACCAGGAAGCGCAAGAAGCTTACTTCTATGGCCAAGGGGCACGTGTTGGAGGTGGCTGTTGGTACTGGTAGGAACATACCTTACTACAAGACCAAGCAATGCGCGACAGTGACGTTGCTCGACTCAAGCGGGCCCATGTTGGCAGTTGCAAAGCGGAAGTGGAACGACACGCACAAGGAATACTTTAGCCGTGTCTTTTTCAAGCAACAGTCTGCCACAGACCCGATAACGCCTCCATATGGTGCCCAAGACGGATACGACACGGTGATACAAACCATGGGACTGTGCTCTACGCATGAGCCCGTGAAGCTGCTCCAGAACCTAGAAGCGTCGACCAATGAGAATGGCCAGATCCTACTTCTAGAGCACGGTAAGTCGCACTACGAGTGGCTCAACAGCATGCTGGACAAGACAGCTCCCGCTCATGCGGACGAACACGGCTGCTGGTGGAACAAAGACATCGGCAAGATTGTCGAAGAAAGTGGGCTGGAAGTCGTTGACATAAAACGCTACAATTTCGGCACGACCTGGTGGTTGCAGTTGAGGCCGAGGAAGGGCATGCGGCAAAAATTGGCCGAGACCACCACCTCGGGTGAGCAGCCGCTTGCTGCACCAGCCGGATCCCCAGTTACACAGAAGCCATGGTGGTCGCTGTGGA